ATGTATGTATGTATGTATGTATGTATGTATGTATGTATGTATGTATATATGTGTGTATGTATGTATGTATCGTGAGACCTGTTTGCAGAAGGTTGCTGTAGTACACCGGAGCAAGCAAAGTATTACTGAAATGAAGAATGCTGTATGTTTCAGAAGTGCAATTCCGGAGGACGTGGATAGACGTGTTCGCTCACTTACTCGTATTGTACTTCAGTTCTCTACTAAATTCATTTGCTGGCCTAATGAAAGTAATTTACCGACACTTTTGAGGTATTTTTTACTTTGTACACTGTTGATTCGCTTGGTGCTCAAATCATTCGTTTACTTAAATTCTCTGAGTTCCGAAAAGCGTTATTTGAAAAAGAGTTTTAACGAATAGTCGGTAAGGTCAAGTGTTGTTGTGCGTTGGTTTGTACTATGGCAAAAATTTTATTCTTTACCTTGAGACAAAATTAATCGAAAACAAGCACTTTTAAAAGTATCAACCTATAGCGTAGAGCACTGGCATAATTACGTTTGGTAAACGAATGCGTCTCAATAACATCGATAGCTTCACACCCTGGCTTTTCTGGAGATTCTTAAAGTTTGCTTTGCTTAGGCTTGAAAGGAATACTTCTGTTTTCTGGAGTGGTTGATAATGAGAAAAAGCCCTTCCAACTACTCCTTAGAAGTCTAAGTCTGAGATGGTATAAAATAGAGGGTTTTTGTAAAATGCGCGAAATGGAATAAGACATAGGATTTGAGTTAAAATTCGAGCTTTTCGATGCGCTTGTTAGCTGGGGATTAAGATAAAAATTGTGATTTGTATGTATCGTCTAGCTGTTTGTACGGGTGATCAGATCAACGATTCTTTTCTCTCGATAGAAGCCTTTGGCTAGGCTTTAGCTGAATGCTTCTATCGAGAGAAAAGAATCGTTGCTCTGATAGCGGTTGCCGGCATGCGATACGTCTACATGCAGACATACGGGGGGTGTCCGAAACTAGTAGCGGCTCTGCATCGTGCTAGGCTTTTAGACGGCAAAATCCGCTATGTCCTTGCTGACAAAAAGTGCCGGTTTCGGAAGAGGACCACGGACCGGCTCTACGTACCGAGGGAAGATGGTGGCTGTGGGTTGGAGTCTCTGGAGGATTGCCTTCGCGAGAGTATCATAGCTACTTGGGCTTATATATTAACATCATCATCAATGCGAGCGCATCACTTCCTATTCCGGCAATTGACCGATTGATCTAAAGGCATTTTTGACATGTGTTATGCGTTACCATTTGGTACAAGACATTGCCGTTCCTAAAATACGATGGGCTGCTTTTCCAGCTAATAAATTCTATACGCATTTACAATGACTCATGCTTATCTGATGATGATTAAGGGTTCATGAAGCAGATGCTACACTGTCGCCTTATCAGACAATCCTATTAAATGATGAAACGCATACCTATGATTCGGTAGGTTTGTTTGCTCCTCTTCCTAAAATCAACCCATTGATGCTCATTTGCAGTACTGTACGAATATTGAAAAGCTGTTTTTTTTTTTTGCAGGTAATTCGAGCCCTGAATCTTTCGGTTCACTGCACTGATGTGCAAGCAATGGTGCTTGCAACGTTGATCGATCGCGAGGGACGAGCTTCGGTGCGCAATGGTACCTACGACTATTGTGCACGGGCAAAAGATGAAATTCAGGTAAAATTTTGCAAATTCAATAGGCTCATACGCAGTAACAGCGCTGACATTGTTTTTTTTTAGGGAACCATTTTGAAAATTATTGTTAGAAAAATAGAGTTTGGGTGATTCTTGAAAAATTCCACCTTCTTCCATTCTTTCTTATTGTAACTTTCTATTGCTGTCGATAACATCGGCTTTTTACTTTTCGCGTAAAAAAGGGCCTTTCGATCCGTCCTGCATCTTTCGGCAAAATTTTTATCAATAATTTAGATACGCTGCTTTTTCGCATTCGGACATGTTCTTGGAATTTCCCATAAGTAACCCGCTGGATGTAAATCCGTTCATATTAGTTCATGCTACTTTTCATATAGTTCATGCGTTGTTGCTACGATATTTGATGGGCCGAGAATTTGATAATGTAGCAGTAGACACGTCGTGCATAAAACAAACAGGATTTCGAGAGGCCACAAATTTGTCAAATTTCGTTTCGATTAAATCAATTTGAGGCAGGGACGCGCAAGAAGTTTAGATTCTTTTCAGTGAAGAACCTGGGTTGGAGAAATTATGTAAAAATAATTTATTTTGAAGAAAAGATTTGATAAAACCTGACCATTATTACAATATTTTACTGATGAATTTCAGAAGCGTACTCAAAGGGACACAAACCACAGAACCGAGA